GCCTATTTAATGTTGTATTTTATTTGCACCTTCATTCAAAAGTCCATACACAAAACGACATAGAAGCCACTCAAATGTGAAATCTCGAAGACCTCTGGGACCTAGTTCCGTATGTGTAACAGTTCACCGTACACTCCAGACACCCATACAGCTGTGAATCAGTGCATGGGAAGTTTGTGTTGCACTACTACATGCAGACAGCCAGCCCTCTCTGGATGTTTCCTCCAGTCCGTTATGCCCGATTTATTCTTTATTCCCATCCGTTACCATCATAGACTGAACTTTAGGCATTTGGCTTCAATGCAGAACGGGCATCAACTGGAGTGGTGTAATTGGGTTTACTGTGTCACTGGTTTGGCTTAGCCCCGTACCGTTCTTAGTGTGCTCCAAAAAATCAGCTTCTAGTTTTGTCTATCTCCTCCGTTTACGGTCTTGTCGGGTGCTCCTGCCTGGTGTTTCTCTTGTAGATCGCCCCTTGTGTGTATAGTTGTGTCGCGCCGTTTTTTGAAGGTCGTTCATCCTAGACTATCCATACTGTAGGTTTGCTTTTTTTGTTCGCGTCCTACTATGGTATGTAGGATCGATTTTGTTTTGATCCGACTTGAACTAACTCTCTTTGCGTTGCTCAATACTAGTCGGGTGCCGATCAAGGTTACTTTTCGTTGAGAAGCTCTACTGGCGTAGATATTCGTTAGTTTGTCCATTGAGCTGGTCAGTTTGGTTACAATCCAACTGCCCAAATCAGCAAACAAACTAACGACCAGTTGCCTTTCAGTCATCAGCAATTTTTGTATGCGTAAAAGTCTAAAGCAGTAATAACATGGGAAGTCCGTTATCCAAAGAGTAGGACAAAATGGAGAACGGGGTGCATTCATGCAGTGCAGTGTTTTAAAGCAGGGTTTCCTCAGGAAATATTGGCTTCACATACAGATCTGCTGTGGTTTTCAGTGTTTGCGGCATGTGCTTCGCTTCTTCGCGATTCTTTCCGTCTTTTTGACTTCCATACTTTTGCGAGTTTCCTATCCGTTGCACTGCCTGGAAGGGAAATTTTGAATCCCAATCACGCGATGTTTTCAAGAGGCGATGCTTGAAGGTACCGCGACGGACTCTACCGCAATTGGAATTGATCATCATCATCATCATCATCATCATCATCATCATCATCATCATCATCATCATCATCGTCATCATCGACAGCATGACATCAGTGTTCAACACCGATGCTTCACTGCCGTACAACCATGACTTTGCAGTGTTTTACAGCAGGGTTTCCTCAGGAAATATTGGCTTCACATACAGATCTGCTGTGGTTTTCAGTGTTTGCGGCATGTGCTTCGCTTCTTCGCGATTCTTTCCGTCTTTTTGACTTCCATACTTTTGCGAGTTTCCTATCCGTTGCACTGCCTGGAAGGGAAATTTTGAATCCCAATCACGCGATGTTTTCAAGAGGCGATGCTTGAAGGTACCGCGACGGACTCTACCGCAATTGGAATTGATCATCATCATCATCATCATCATCATCATCATCATCATCATCATCATCATCATCATCGTCATCATCGACAGCATGACATCAGTGTTCAACACCGATGCTTCACTGCCGTACAACCATGACTTATTTCAAAGCCTTATTGTAANCCTATGTCAAGCATACTGAGGTGCCTACACCTCCAACCGCTCAATCAGACAATCTGGAAAGAAACTGACAGCAAGAGCACCACTGACATCGATTAGCCGCCATTTCTTGCTACGTCTCCAGCCAAGCACAGACGGGGTCACGGGGACCCCATCCTGGGAGGCGTACAACACCAACCACACCCAAACTCTTCGTGATCTCTTTCACGCCTTTTTGCCAAATCATATGCTGTCCACCTCGCGGTTTGCGCCATCCTGAAGGAGGCACGGAGAACAACACTCGTCTCGGTAGACGGTGTTTCGGCAGCGTAGCACATGACCGAGCCATCGTAGTCGATGATGCTGGATGTTTTCCCGGATTGAGGTGCCTACAGTACAACCAAACACCCGTTTTCTAATCGCCTCGTTACTGATACGCTGACGCCATCCGAAACCAGCCACGCTTCTGAGGCATTGGTGGAATTGAGCTGAAGTAGACTAATCCCTAATACGATTTTTAGTACTGCTAGAGGTGGTTGCCTCTAAATGTATTTCCCTCAGTCGGAATACATGAAGAAATTATGGTTGAAGGGACAAATGTACTATTGGGCGTTTTATCCAGAGTTTCTGTGGTAAACAGACCTGGTTACATCATACTGGTCACCGGCGTTCAGGAAATTTGCTGATGAATGTGGTGCTGGTATCATTGACCACGCTGATGATTCCCATGGATCAACTGTGTATGTTCTTATTAGCTTGCAAGTACAGCGATAGCTTTTGCTTGATTAACCTAATCGCGGTGTTCAAGTCTTTTCAGTTTCAAGACGGATCTACACTGTGGATTCCGTCCTTCCCACTCCGTGGAGAGAATGTATCTGAATGTTGGGATCTAGTACTGTCTTACTAGTTCCTTCTCACACGAGTCGGTCTGATTAATAGCAGTGACCAATTCATCTCCAATGCACCCATCGACATTGGTGAGGGGTGGCATTTACCTCGGGAAGTCAGCATGTACGAGAGGGAGACGGATGGATAAAAGCCGTACATTGAACGTTTGAATTCGTAAGACAGAGGAGCATGAGTCGGTTGAGTGTGGTTCTGTTCCTCCATCGCGAACTCGAGAAACCGAGCAGCATTTTAGTGAGATGTTATCAAAGAGCTGCCCTTTTGGCCGGGTAGTTGGACAAGTGTATTGCACTGGCCTCAATTTCCATTACCGAGCAGCAGAGCACCCATAGTTCCAAAGGTTAGCAATATTTCCGCAAAATGTTGATCATGTTTGCTAGCATTTTGAAAATTCATGAACTCATGCTCATATTGCTGTATTCGCGGTTGTGGGCTGTATCACTGCATTACAACAGTAAGTTGTGGGTCTTCAACCACCTCAACATAATGTCGCCATTCATCACTTGGACCTGCATTTAATGTTCCCATCTTTTGATCTGTTAGCTAAAACGGTTCATTTAACTTTTTCAGAGTCAAAGCGTTTATTTAAGAAGGCGGTTTCGGCCGTCGCTGTGGTAGAGCACGGAGAGGTTTGTGCTGAAGCTCACTTAATCTGACGCCTTCAGGATAAGCGACGTTTTGTGGTTCTCAAAGAACTGGCAAGAAATAAAGAGAATGTCACGACAGACCAAACGGTATGTTCTTGCTTGTTATTGGATTCAAATGTGCTAGGTTGTTTCTCAGTCCACTCAAACGCCAACAAGTCGGCTACCCGTTGATATCCACGCGCAGGTAACCAATGCTGTCAGTCGGCCGGATAGTACCTTTCCATTTTTTAGAAACATGTATGCGGTACCGCAAATGGGACTGTTGCTGTGAGTTCACCGTAATGGATCATGTTTCTGTGTTAATACATTTACGAATAGTCTTTTATCTGGCGCGAAGATATTGTTTTTCAACTGGGAAGGGAGCAACAAGCGAACTAATGTTCTACGGTTTATGCTGGAGGTTGTACATTCAGTCCTCCTTTCCTATTATTGAATGTTGTAATGGATGTATAGATCCTCGGATGTTCAGACGTTATATCACAGCTGGGCCGTTATAACGTGTCGCTCGATCTACGCTCCGGACTAATTTGAATAAAACCATTTGTTCGCCAGTGCTTAGGTCATATTTCAACCTATCTATTCCTTTATTCATTGAGGCGACTAACACTGCACATGTCTGTTGTGACAGGTGATATCAGTTTGTTTTCTGCAAAGTATACAGATAAACACTATTAATCATTGGGCCATAACATTCGGTGCGTAACTACCGGCCACTCACAGAAGCACGAGAGCTGAGACAGCTAGTTGCTCAAGCCTAGACTGAAGCATTGAAGATGCCGGGGTTGAGTTGTAACGTGAACTTTTCGTCAGTAACTTCGCTCCCTAAACACAGCTGTCTCGAGCTCACCAAGTATATAAGGGTTGAATACTATAGTTTGATTGGTGAGGCTGTTGCTCAAAACAAACAGTTTTCTGTTATCCTCACCCACACTCTCTTATTCTTTATCTGTTTTCCATTATTGTCTCTGCTTTGTCCACCACAGTTAGAATCTAGGGAGTGTGTACCAACACATAGGGCATCGGTATTCAATAATTGGCCCACTCCCCAGGTGTCTACTGAAGGTATACAAAATATGGACAAGCTAAATCGTGGGCGAATAAATGCGTTTGAGATTCGAGAATTAATTCAGGTCACGACAGCTAGTTTCGTCGTTATTACTGTATGCTTTACTTCTGTTGTCACGTGCATGGGGACGGGCCGGCTTCTTGTATCTCTCAAATCGCAGCGTGGAGGTCGGTAGGAAGGCTAACAGAGATGTCGGTCCACTGTTGTTTCCAGTGATGTAGGCCGTATACAACTTACAGCATTAGACTTTCAACATCGGACTTGACAGTATGGATCCAGGTTCCAGCTAACTGCCTCGACACCAACGTCATTCTCGGCGCTGTTCAGGAGAAGTAGCTTCGGTGGTCTCGGCTGGTGGGTGACGAACATGTTGAAACCATCGAAGTTGACGTTAGGTTAGCTGCGCGATTTGACCGATATCAAACTTTCGACACATAATCTTGTGGACGTACTCTCAGAATATTTCAAAAACACCCACTGTCAAAACTCTCCATATTGCGAGGCACACATTAGTCGGGCTTCGCAAGCACACAATAAGGCGTGTTAGGTGACAAAGTGACAAATTCGAACCGTAGTTTTGGGGTTAATTTTTTTCCGCGCCATATATTGCACCTAGACATCTCGGTCATTGTTAAGGTCACAAATTCTCGCTGCTAATCGTAGTGCTACGTTCATCATTGTTGTGTGGTCTAAAGTCCGGAGCAACAATTCCCAATCATGAAAGTCCTGTACTTCACTTCCATATTCATACTTCCTTTTTTTTCCAGAAACAGCAGCAAGTACAGGCCTACTCTACGTATACGGGTTCGGAGCCACGTCAGTGGTGGATCGCTAGCGCTGAATGTCGTCAGGCAGACATGTCCAGGTTGTTGGGTCTCAATCCAAAGCTAGTGAACTGGAATGTAAGATGTCACTTTCTTCCGTGTTCTCAGGTGTAGCGAATGACTTATCGCTATTATTTCCTGGAATTTTCTGTCCGCTGGTCAGTAGCGTGCGTCGTTCGAAGAAGTACCGCCACTCTTACGTGGCTCGTCACAGCTTGCCTGCCGGGTATTTTCTTAAAAACCGTGAGAACAAAGCGACTAATGATTACTTGTGCAATGATAGCAAATTATCATCAGTATCATGACATTTTAATGTCGTATTATTTCCGTTCTCTGCACCGATATCCTTCGCACTATCGCGGAATCGCTATCTTTTGGCTAACGTTGCTTTTTGAGGTTTCACTACAAGGCTCGTTACTCTAGCTTTTCAAATATTTCACACATGTTTGGATGTTAACATCCACTATGAGCTGACTTCATGATTTCTGGTTGCGGGTTGAACTCGAGAATCAGTAGTTGTTTGCAACGACCTTAATTTGAGGCGAGTTTATTTTGCGACTCGCAACATTAATGCAGCAATTCTACAATCCTCCGATTTTTTTCGGATCTGGTTTCTATTGCATGTAAACTTTCAGAATACGTGAATTCGCCGATGATGTTACTCTCCTTCGTACCAGCCTTAACCCTCTGAATCTCTTTGGATCCTGTATGACCCTGCGGAGACTGAAGGCCAATTTCGCTCGAATTGTTGGTTGCGATTTAGCTGACGCGCAACTTTCAACCTTTTTAAATCCATTCATACTTTCACACTTTGTCGGTCTTCCTAGGGCCATCCACTCTCCGCTGACTCTAACGTTTCCGTGATTGTTCTGGGTTGAAGTTTTCTGATAACCCTTCTTGGTCTTCCCATGTCAAATTGATTACCGCTAGTGTTTCCGAAACTGTTGGAGTCCTTTCCACTCCTACAGCTACCTTGCTCCCTTAGAGCTTGGGTTTTTGGATCCAATATCTGCCCATCAATCAAATGTGAACGGAATTCCACGGAAAAATATGCACATCATTCCTATGCCATTTACAGATATTCAACCGCCTGCTGCCTAAACTTAGATACGATTTATCTAGTTTGTCTCTTCTACATAGCCGATGTTCTAGGCTGGGGTCACCTGTGCTTCTCCGACAAACCTTCAATCATTTCACACGTCTCTTTTTCTAATCACTCTGTCTGCCAGATCGACAGACTATGAAAGTTTACTTATGGTAGTTAGAGCACGACATTTGATACGAACACTCTTTTGCCCACAATAATGGTATTACCGCTCGACCGATCCACTCTTATTGTTGGAGTGGGTTACTGTGAGTTACTTCATCGATTTGCTGAGCGTCTGGCATCGGGCTTATGTGAGGCTGCCAATGAACAACGAGCAACTGGCGTGTGGAAGAAGAGAGTTCAAGCAAATAACGCAACACATCTGTCTAGCGAAGTCTAGGCTTAAGTATACTACCGTGTTTTCTGAATCGCTTAGGAGGTGAAATGTATGTTTGGGTACCAGTAAACTTATGAGGTTCCTTCCCTTTGTCGAAATTTTGTATATATAGATATCTGGGGATCTATTAAGTGCAGTTGAAAAGCACCATCTTTACTTGGAACAGAAGTAGACCAGCAGCAGGCTTTGATACTGAACTACCATTAGGCTTAGAGAAGAATGAAAAGAAATGACGGATGGGAACTCATTCCGAAAAAACGCATGTAAAGATCAACGTGTGTACGCCTTCCAAGACTATTGGAATAGACACTCTGAGCAAGACTCAGTCAGCCACCCAGCATTCTTTGTGAACCCCGTACAGATCAACAGCCACCTGATCAATTACCAACCCCGTACAACACAAGCACGGTACACAATGATTAGCATTCTAAAGCTAGACATGCCGGATATGAAGTGACAACAAGTCCGCCACTTGGGCCGGTTATGTATCAAGTCCAACAGCTTGTAGAATCATGGAGGGCGTGAAGAGCCAACAGCGTTCAACTTGATAATAGTTGTTTTCATTTAACGTTGCCATATCATACCCTCGGTTCGGTAACTGGAAGCTATACCAGCACCAGCATACTCCGCTGCACCAGCCACAGAGTCGTCTGAATTTCATAGGCGGTCGCATCTGTACAACAAAAGTGCTGTAAGTCCGATCGCAGTACTTGGATCGTACGTACAAATTTTCGAAACGCATAAATACCTATCAAAAAATAGCCGACACCACGCACTATAGCAGTTTTTTTAGCCGATTTGCCTGAGGTTTATCACATCAGAGGCTTTGATATAAAGAGGAGAAACTGACACGAAGCGACAGGTGTTGCCAGTGGTCTGTTATCAGTTACTCCATTTGGTGCAAGAATGTTACGCCTATAAACTGAATGTACGGAACGGTGACCATTTAATGGGATAGGAAGGACCCCAAGAAAGTACATTGAGAAATGATGCCTGAGTAGTATTCTGTTCTCCCATATCCGCTCTGCTCTCTGCATGCCTGATGACACCACGCAAGGGGCCCATTTGGCATAAGACTACCGGTGATTGCGCAGTTGTGTGTACACCGGCTGTTGGTATCGCCAGGTCGGCCAAGCCCAAATACAAGAGGATAATTGAGGTCATCGACCAGTTTTTGAACCTAAAGCTTGACCTCAATGCAGTGGCGGACGGATAATATAACAACCCAAACTTTTAAAGAACGAATCGCGACGCATTTCATTTCTCAAGCCGGGGGCCAGGAGACTATTAATCTGACGTTTACCCATTAACCAACCTGGCACTGGAGTCCAGTCTCTTCGTAACAAACGTGAAGTTTGGCTTGCCTATTCTTAGAATACAGTCTAAAGCTGTTGTTCGCCCAGTAATCCCACTGAACTGGTTTGGATTTGTTGAAACTCACGTTATACTTAAAATGTCCTGGCTGTTCATCAAACTAGAATGTTCTTGATACACATATATTTTTATCCGTGACTATGGTTTTTTCCAGAATCCGGTCGACGGAGTAAGTTGAGTATATTTTTGACTATTCTTCTGAATGACATTGTGAGTCAGTCTAGTCACTAACACCTTATTTTCCTCTACCTTCTCTCGATCGGTTCATGGAATGTCGTCACTCAGTGGGTGAGTTCCTGTACCTGCATCACCGACTGCCTTTCTTGTTCCATCAGTTACATAAAGTGGAGTTCACCATCATAAAGCGTATCTTAGTCGTAAACTACTTTTCAGAAGACATCACCTTGCAGAATGTGCCGTTTCTAATTAGTTTCTTGATGTCCGCAGACGGACAGCATATACATTGCAGAATGGAATTGCTGCACTGTCTATGTTTTTTCAACATAATACCATTTTTGGCGGACGGAAGCCTACTTTCGGTCGGCAAGTGATGAGTCCCGTCAGAAGTAGAAGTTACAGTTCACAGGAATTTTACTTGTCGATTGGTCTAACTACACCAAAGGGGAAAATTTGTGCGACGACTTCTGGGTCTATTCCATGAGTTCATAGATGATATTTTCCTCACCGCTGTTTGAGAGCCGCCCCAAACTCCGTTCCGGGGTCACTGTGCAATCATTGTCCTACGTCTTGACTGAATAGCGAATGAGGCTTCTTCGACACTCCCAGAGGACAAAATAGGAATAGTCCTTGATGATGCGAGAGTAGAAAACCTTTGCGTCATGTTGTTCAAATGTCTAACCATTCTGTCTACTGGTAGCTCAGTGAGATAATATTCATCATTCCGGCGTCTAAATTTAGGACTTAGTCCCGTCAGTTTTTCAGCCCTGTCCATTTGCTGAATTTCTCAACTGAAGAGATGGCTAACGACCATTCTCGGTCAGACCTGGTTCCCTTCATACAGCTGTCACATCTGTACTACTTCCTAGTTTTGTCCCTCACTTCAGGTTTCAGAAGACAGTCCGATATGAGCGGTGTTGATTACGAAACCACGTGTTTCAGAGTTCTTTATTTTTCCAGTACATCAGAGTTGTCGCCTCTGTAAGGTTTTTCGAACATGTTCTGGCGCACTTCTGGTGGCTCTCCCAAACTTAATGTGACTGTACTTGAATCGGAGTCTTCTCAACATGGAAAACGAGCGAATTGACACTACTGAAAGATTAGTAAGGCTCTGAGTCTTGCACATGGGCGCCGGAACACGTGAAATTTCCACTTTGCTATGGGTTGACAGGATGGTTGGATATTCGAATATGATAACGCATCGTCAAGGACTATCCCTAACAGTGTCCCTGAATTGGAAGATGAAGGACTCAAAAACCCGATCAAAATGATCTCAAACCCCTCCCCCACCCCTCGGCCATAAAATTTAGGCACCTGCAATAAACAATAAAACATTTTAACTGACATTCAGCACCAGTCTAGTGTGCTGATTGCTGATTAGTTCTTCATCTACCCTGATACTTAGTCAGTAACCTAGTCATTTGGTTTGAGGAAGCTTTTGTTTCAGAAACAAAACGTTGCCCATCCGTAGACCCACTGGTTGTTCACCAAAACATTGCGAAACAATACTAAGTGGCTAGGTATCTGCTTAGAAGAAGGCCGAAGGTGTTGGTATTTTTTTCTCGTACGTTTTCACTGCACTATAATTTCAAAGGTATCACGAGAACGATCACGTCTTTCACATGAGCATATCTATGCAGTCAGTTGCATATGGCAATCTCTACTGATTGGTTTGCTTACGAACTTTTACAACAGCGAAGAAACGTGGGGAAGCATCACACAGAAATCGAAATGACCGTTGGCGATTCGTGAATTAGAATGCATTGGTACTACAATACTATGTTACGGTTAGCCTGTTTATCATTGATCAGCTGATTAGTCTGTTGTTTTCAAACCAAGACCCAAGGGGCAGTATCGATACTTCGTGATCATATCTTATATGGGGGATCGTATCTCTTGATCACGGTGGCTTTGATTGATGTCGATGCTGGCCTTTAAATTAACGGTGTATTAAATCTGGGACCTGTGGCTTAAAGTACAGCCTACTTTGAAGTTGTAAATCTGTGTATAATTGATTTTTCTTCTGTTTCTAGTAACCATTTTCCGCTTTTGGAATCATTTCTTCTTTGTTCTAAAAGCTGTTCCCATGTCTACCAAAAAGACCACTGAGCTCAGATGTTCCAACTACCTTACGCAATTCAGCCATTTCGTTTAAGCTATATTCTTCTGCACCACATTTCCAAGAAGGCGCTGAGGTAGAAATTCTCATTCAACTATCCCCCGCCTGTTCGTTATGGTGAATGTTTCAGACGGCGCTTCACTATGCCAGCAAGTATTCAAGTGCTCAGTGCATGCGGTTGTTGCTGGATCAATATAAGGCAAATGTGAATGCCCGCAGCCGGGTGAGTTTTGAAATCCTCATCTGTGTTGAAGTTCTACTTTGTTGTGATAGCGCTGAAAGGCGGTTCGCATACACATGACTCTGCACACGTTTCTCTATAAGTACCGTGCTTACCGTGACATTCCAGGGTTATTGTGCCTTTATTCACCTTTGATAATCGTTTACTCAACCATGCCCTCCAGAGCCAATGTAAAACAGTTTTTTTCCCACCAATAAAATTCTAAGTTGGTCCTGTCTCTGTCACTTTGCCGTGAGCTCAAGTAATCCGTTTTGTAAATCTGATTCGGGATCTAATCGTTCCAAACGGCTGTGATTTCAACCAAGTAACACTGGTACGCTCCATTTCACAATGGTCTCGTTAACTTCATATTTACTTTCATTAAACCCCCATCACCAGCGTGCCGCCTCTCCAAATTCCGAGCCTGTCCATTTGTATTCGTGCCTTTCTCATCAGTCAGTTTGAGTGTACTTTGTCGTACATCTGTCTATGGCCTGTTGACAACGTGTTAACGTCTGAGGCAGCTCGACTGTGTCATTTTCTCTTCATCAAAAATATTAAATAACGCTTGCCAGTTGCCGGATTCAAAGGAGTTTTCAGCAATCTACTTCATCTGCTTATCACGATAAACAGTGTCTTACTACATTCAACCCTTTGATTGTCGCTTCTGTGAATGAAAAACAGCGCGACGGGGTTCCGATAGTTTTGAGACCACTCAAAGGCTGTTAGTTGACCTCACCTGAATTCGATGCTCCGGGCGTACAAGCACCTACTGACCAAACTCTAGCACACAGCCCACCGCTACCGGGGCTGAGTGTGTTTGCTGCCTGGCCACGAAGTCGGTCGATATTAGCATATTGATTTGAATATATAAGTAGCTCTGTCAACGCTCTATCCGTTTATCCACTCTCATAGCTTTTCGTCTATTCAGAGGTCCTTCTCATTGTACGAACCGTTTCAGACGTGTCTTGCCAATTTTCGCGAAGCAAAGTCAATCTCCATGCAACCATGCACGCTCGTATTGGACCGGCATATTGAATAAGAACAAGTTTTCCATATATTAATAAATACCATAAAACCCTGGCGTTGAGCCCCGGTGTAGCTGGAGGCGAAGATTACGGTTAGAATACGTAGTTGTAGCGTTACCCAGACAGTATGCGAATTTTTTGAAAGTTTTCACATCAGGATAGAAATGTGTGTGTACTCAACTGAAATAGACTGCAGGGTGTTTAAAAATAACCTACACTTTAGGTCGTTTGAATGGTCACCAACTTTTTTGCAAACTTCATTTTTCGTTTGGGCTGTAATTGCATGGCGCAAAGCCTGGACGAAATCATAATTTGCAACCGTTCGTATCGTAATTTGAATGATTTCCACGTCAAGCGGTTCATATCTTCTACTTGAGATTCTGCCTTTTATTTTTGAAATGCGAAGTAGAATCAGGTTTGCTGTTTATTGTTCGTTTTGCCCAACATACCTTTCGTCACAGTTTTGATCTCTAGCTATATACACGTGTAGACTTACTTTTTTTCCGCAAAATAAGGTGTTATAATCCAGTTGTTTGTGCAATCTTGACAGATTAAGATGTATATAGTTCGACCCCCTCTATCATCGCCCAGTCTAAAAGTGTGCCAAAACGAAACCCTGGATGAAACATGCACTTGTTGCCCTTGTGCACCATACTCCACCTCGAATCACTATTCGCGGATAACGTTACAACCTTAATGCAACCTTAATGCAACCTTAATACAACCTTAATGCACTCGTGTTCAGGCTAAGCTGACAATCGTTTAAAGTGTTTCATTTTGGTATTTATCCATTTCACGTAGCTTTGTCGAACTAGTGTGACATTTTCCACCGCTTAGACATCTGTTCAATTGGTTCCATTTCATTTCTTTTATCGTGTCAAACTGAAATCGTTCACGATCGTCTTGCAATGCATTCTCGCAGAACGTAAGTTTTCAGCGTTTCTTAACAACTTCAATCCATGTGGAGTCATTCGCCGATATCCTCACACACATGAGTTTTACATTGTGCTTTGAGTGTTCGTTCGTTCGTTGAGTTTTCTATGGGCTCGAGGTAGCTCAGTGTCTAGGGTCCATGGTTCGAACTCCCGTCCGTCCTCTCAGCTGCCCCTGTCTAGGCTTCGGCAGCCTTGCAGTATCTCAGCACTCGTGTCTCTTTCGGATGGCATGACCGGAAAGGTTGTTACAGCTGAACGGTTATTTGTTCTATCATTTTTGTGCTTTCTGACGTCGCATTTTGCAGTAGAGTGATACTTCGTCGAAAGGTACTTTGTAGCTGTATTCAGTTCAGCCCGGCTAAAACTTGTCACTGACCCCAGAGAGTTGGAAAACTAAAACAGAGTACCTTTGAAATCTCAGCGAGCTGAGCTATCCTATTATCCTTTTCGCATACGTGCCGTTATTCTTCAACTAGTGGTACCTCCGGTTGGGGTGTTCCTCGGATAACGGTGCGATATTTTTCACTACATTGCTATGGTTTCCATTGGGTCACTCAGGAGAACCTTCGATCTGTTATAAGAGCAGTTAGTTCTTTTCACCTGAATCTCCTGATGAATCGTACTGATTTAGTGCAGTGGTTAAGTAGCTTGTACAGGAGTACAGCCGATTTTTTATAAGCGACAGATGAGCTGATGATATTGCACCACAATTTGCGTGTCAGCTAACTGTTCGCTCCCATATATTACTAATCGAATGGAACCGACTTTACAGTTGTCAGCTAACCTCTCTAGCATCGATGCCAGTGACTGTTGACTTCTATTGTATGCTCGCCTCGCAATCACCAATTGTTGTACCTGATCGTTTGTGATTGATCAGGTGGCTTACTCAATTCACGTCTCGCGAGTGCTCTTATGCAAAAATGCCGACACAACCAACGTGTCTGTGTCTGTAAAATCGGACTTTGCTCAGTAAACGCGAGTGCAATAATTCTAGCAGCCAACTGTTTGCTGGTAGCTTAGAATTTCGAATCTGACCAAGCGGTTTTGCGTTTATTTTACTATGCTAGTCACTGTTATCCAGCCACTCTGGAGCTTTCGAATACCACTAGCTGCCAAGCCAAGTGTTTTAACTCCACAGTATCAAAAACTTCCCTACTATTCGCCAGTGGTGGAGTGTGTAGGTGAAGTTTCCTCCTATCCATATGAGAGTAGGGATAGCAATTTTAGGAAAGTTCTGGAAGCTATGTTACTTCAGCAACACGTAGGAATAAATTATGTGCTATCTCAACTTTGTCCTAATCCCATGACGGTTATTTGATTTTTGTGTTACTCACAAGTAGCTTAAAATGTATTCTTGTTTTTTGCAGGGACAGACACCTCTGCATGTTGCTGTCGTATTTTCCCAGCCTGTCGCGATCCGCTTGCTAGTCGAAGAATTCAGTAAGTGGCTAGTTCCGCAATACCATCCATCCGTCCTAAGTCCAGACGTTGAAGAACAATGTCCCGGTTGTGTACACATCATAAATGACCAACCTAGTTAACCAATGCCTTTCTTCCAGTTCGAAGGCTGGTTGTTACGTCGTACTGAAATAAGACATTTTCGGAGGGACTTATATTGTTTTATCCTTCCGCGATAGAGGTCGGCGACACACCTCACTTGTTAGTAAATTTAGGCCTTTATATGATCTGTCTGACACAGTACACCTAAATTAAAATATCAGCTATTTGTTTCGAGCGTTATCATTTCCGATTGGCAACCATTACTGGTATGTGGTATAGACAACAATATGGACACAAGGCAGTTCAGTAACCGACAATGCGGCCTTTTTTATGTACAACAAAATCCCTCCAGTCCCAAGTTACGTGAAAATGTTTAATGCCGTCACTCCAAAAAAAGTGAACTCTGTAGAAGATGCGGTGGCCCGGCAAGGTGTCCATTGAAAATTAGGCACATTTAGCTTCAACTTTTTCTACAGCAATAATTTCGGAGATGAAACAGTGTAGTGGATGTGAGGTTAAATTTATCATTGCTGCCAGATAGCTAGATAGGGGGCATTCGAAGAATATGGCGTGACTGAACAGAATTAGCCACTACGGAAAGAGGGTCCAAGTATTCGGTCTCGACCACATATTTATTGTTTGAAAACGAGCGGGCGTTATACTGCGTTATCTTTTAGAGTTTGTTGTGGGTCTGGATTACTTGAGCAGATCTCCTGACCTGATGCGCCTCTTATATTTGGTCCACACCAAAGTGAGGATACACTGGACCTAAGTATCGCTTTTATTGAGGCTTATGTTTTCAGCCAATTGGGATTTCGATCTGCTGAAAGGTGACATTCGATGAGGGCGTGTTACCACCACTCTACAACTACAATTAATCACAAGTTACCAAAACATTCGCGCTATCTAATCCTGACTGGTGGCTCACTCGCTAGACACTCTCTGGACAGTAACAGTACGAGAATTCCAGCAAACAAATCGTATCGCCCCAAATGTGAGCACTCCTTCAGTGTGTCCAGAGTACGCTGTTGGAGCCCGAACTTCAAGTCCCATTACAGCCAAAAATATACATTGTTGATGGATTCTATCTGGATTTTAAATCGGACCCAACGCTTCCGTTCGGCTGTGGATCAGGCACAATATCTCTGTCATGGTAGGGATCGAACATCTATATTTTGTTTCGGGATGCACATCTGATTTAAAATTTAGGTACGAAATAAAGCGCCGGTTGTCACGTAAAGAGCCGTCATTGTTAATATTCACTGTTCAACTCCACGTGGCTATCTTCACACTTTCGCGATATTACCTCATTAATATCTTTGGGTCCTCGGCTTGAATGTCGATTCGCTGTTAGGGGAAATGTTCACTTTCACACGAAACAAACCTGCCCTGTTCTCTCAAACGATCCACATGGGCTGCCCAACCGCCGGATCTCAAATAGAGGTTGACCGCAGTTTACCAAGATTTGATTCAATTGTTGATTGACACCTTGCTTCGACCCTGGCTGAAAACCTTCTTTGGATGACAGAGATGGTCGGCCTTTAAGTTACAGTCCCTAGAGTTTGTGCTTGAGTTGCTAAAACGCGCCAACCCGCTGCCCCAGCTTGTTACTGTTGCACTCTAAAACATGTTACGGTCGACTACACAAGAACGTCGCTTCGTTGTACCATCCATTGAGTTGAATTCGAAATCGAACGCATTCGCTTAGTATCAGACAACTTGTAACACAGCAGACAGCACTGGCAGATGGACGTCGATCAGCCTGAAACATTGAGTACCTTGTCAGTCTGGAGCAACGTAACCTAAGTGGTTGCAAGTCACCAGTCAGTAAGTATCATCTTGCAACCAGTTGCTGTTTAGAGTGTGTAGCCGACTGCCACCCTCTACCATCCTTTTTTTACAACAGCCATTCCAAGAATGCAGTCGTCTCCCTCTGTGGAGACCACTCGCAGAGACCGAGTAACTGTAGTCCATTCTGGAAGAAAAAAACATTGGTGACAGGCACAAGTTATCAACCAAAAGTTATTCTCTTCCGGGCAAAAATTTCTCAGGAAGTAATAATTGTAATTTATCTTGGTTGTGGTGATCAGTATTCAACGCTGTCCGCGATGATGATGAGGTAGCTGTCTTCAGTCTTTTTCATTACACCTACTTAGAATAGATGTAGGTGAACCACATACTGCTCTCATCCAGCAGAGCAAGAGTACTGAGAATGTACTCCGTTGATGCCGATTTGCCAGGTAAGCACGGGTGTCATGCTCGCGTAAACTGAAATGATCCTGTGCTTTACCACACCGGCATAATCCCCTCAACTCCGCACTGTGATTCCGTGTCTATTTTGATTCTGTACTATTTTTTAGAAGCCGATACGGCCATCATGGATTTTTCCGGTCGTTTCCCAGTATCCTATCTCAAAGAAGAGCAACGGTCGGAATTCGAAAGTAAGTCAACTGGCCTTACTTGCTACAGCGAACTTTATCCTACTCCCAGGCGTCGGAAATATCATCTCCATGAGGTTTCATATATACGGTTGACTACCGGTGATATCCTATTCTGAGTTGAATGTTCGTCTGAGAAACGTTGATCTTTGTAGACATAACGCAATCTCGGGAGAGGTGGCTTACTGGTAGAAAAAGTATTTACGACGCGATGCAGTGGAGCGTCTGTAGTGCACCTGCTAAGGTGCAGAGATTCCAGGATCCCCGGTCCTTTGTTCACTAACGATAAGGAGTGGGAGGAATTGACGACCATGCGTCGATGGTGATGGTGATGTGCATGGCTATGTATGGAGTGTGCTTCTGTTTAGGGGTGGGTAAATTGAAAGTATTCAGGCATTCGTAGTGTGTGTGCGCGGACATGGTCGTCGATTCCTCTTGCAGACATACAGCACAATACAAGATGTATCAAGAAACTGCTGAGCAAAGGCAAAAGCACTAAGCTTGGTCCTGGGTCTTCAGAGTCTATCGGTCTGTGCAATTTGTGACTCTGTATAATGGCAAAACGCGTGCGACGCACATGCGATGACGACTTACGCAGTGTTCTAAACGCGTGGTGGAACGATTCGCGTAAAAGGAAATTGCTTACTTTCGCAATCAATGCAGTAGCATCATATCGAATATGGTACACTCAAAAGCAAACAGCGGACATCGTCGGTCCGTTAACTACAAAAAAGTTCTTCAAGTCAGTCTGAGAAACTCGTGTGGACTCCTGATCACGGTTAGAGGTTTCTAACAAATTGCTTTAGCTTAGGTAAACCAGCATTGTGAGTGTGAGTGGTCACAGCCTCGGTCATACTTAATTACTTTTTGATGTCAATAAGTTTTTTCTCGGGTGCTTGAGATAAAATCCGTGAGGTCGACTCTAGTTTTTTATACAATAATTTGAAATAATCCGGTGATCAAGAATGGCGATTGTACTGTTTTTCTCCGGTAGATGCTGTCTTGCTCCCACCACAAGTTGGTCCTCATTCTGTCGGTACATCCAGCTGAACACGAGTATGGGAACTGGTAGCTTCACGTACTTGCTGTCCTATGGGACAACTTGTCTTTGGGGCGTTGGAAGACCGTCTCTCGGTGAATGAATGGGGTTCTTAGGCTGATGATGTTGAACGCGTTGTGGAATAGGTTAGGTAACCGATATGTAGATATCTGGTGAGGTGTTTCACTTACAAATGGAAGACTAAGGAACAGTTTCCTGTTTGTAATAATCAAAGTCATGGGTAGATTTAGTGTTGAGGTGGGTGGCGTTGAAAATAGTGACCACGTGATCTGTCTCAATCGTTCTCGGCTGAGTGATAAAAATGGTATCGACATACTGGCAGTAAACAGAACACTGGAGGGTTGTTTGTGCTAATCTCCTCCCCCCACACCTGCTATTAGAAGCCGAGTGGTAAGCCCGTCAGTCTGTCGGTACAAATTACCGTTGTAAGTGAATGCATCTTCACGGTGCACTGGAGCTGGAGACATGTAACTGGCGGCGGAAATTCTGGATTTAGTTCAACCAGGTGATCTCAGAACAAGTTCACGATGTTGACTGGGGACACGTTAGTGAAAAGTCAACTCACAGCAGTTGAACAAGTTCGAACATGCCACACAGATTGCACTGGAAATGTTCTACAGAACTATTCAATGTCGCTATTGATTGCATTATGTCTGAAAACGAATAATCCTAAGAGAATTGTTCGCTCCGAAACACTGTTGTCCTAGATGACTAATGGACATATTCCGAACATAATCTGGATACCGTTTCAGTGGATGGGCTAGGAGCCTATGGGAGTGACGTGCAATTTAGAGCAGACTACTTGCCCAGTGTGTTTATTTGTAAAAGTCGTTAAGCGTTGACATCCACAATCAGTTAGCGAAGCTGATGTTGCGTGGCTCGGTCATCGTGCAGTGAGCATCGCACAATTTCTGATTTCAGCTTGTTCATTATTTGAGCCAGTTGGTTATGACTGTTATGAGCAATCTGAACTGTCGTTTATCGTTCACAGATGCGCGCGACTTACCGGACTTGTCTGTTTTAAATTCACACGAAGTTGCTAGAGTATTCGAATTTTACCTAATTTTTATCGTAGACGGTTTGATATGACCTAAAGGGCTCCTCTCCTGCTTTTGTGCGGTTATTCTGTGTGGACCATACCAAGCAATGGAGGCGCACCGGACTCCAGTTCCCCTCCCACTAGAGTCCCGCAGCAACGCATATCCTCGGCCCTACTGGGCCTTGAACTCTTCTCATCTAAGGTGCGAGGCGAGCACTCTGAATCACGTCTTAACAGGCAGCCGTGTTTATGCTTGGTCAGTGTGTATAGTTCTTGAGACCCCTCAAACGATGACCCTTTTGTGTTGCTCGATGCTTCCCCTCTGGAGTCAAACAAGTTCAAGCTTGACGCCGACGCCCTTGAGGGACGTTGTATCACGATCCTCATCAAGGTTTTCGAATGGGAGTCTCCTCATAGTTACCATTTCGTGTCGTTTTGTCGATCAACCTTATCAGGGACGAGGACGAGATTATGTAGGTCAGTCGCAGACAACGTGCCACATTATCGGGTTAGACGCTGGCACCTGAGTCTCATATAAAGGCTACAGAGCACAAAATAGGCTAAAAACCAGTCCACAAAATGCACACATTACTGCGTGCACACTTCGTCCACTCAGGTACTCGACTTATTGAAGAATGTGGCCTACGCTAGCATGTACGTGAGAATCGAAAATCGCCTCGTAAAGGTGAGCTGGCGCCATCGCAGATAACCTTATTGAATAAGATGAAAGGACATACCAGTGGCTTGGTTCTAGATAGGCGAATCGATGTAAGAAATAAACATGAAAAATGGACTTAAGTTTAAACCAACCAACAGGTATGTAATTAAACTTTATTGTATGAAAAACATGCTTCGAAACTCAGTTAGTGAGGGGAGTACACAGATGTGCATTTGCATGCTACGGTGTGTTAGTTTTTTCCTCGGTATTTTCAGTACACCTCACATCATAGTCTCTAGGGCACAGATGTTCTTGGGTACCGGCGCTTTCTCGATGAATCTGCGTTACACCTGTCCATTAACTGGAAACAGGACATTTGAAAGTCGGACAGAATACAGCTTCGAATATGTTGCAAATCGTTAGAGTGGCAATTTTCCGTTTAACCATCGCTCCAGTTTGTTAGTGTGTTTGCATCCAACTTCGGTAGTGATCCGGTGGAGAAGATATTGGCTAGTTGTGACTTATCCCGATATTAGCGCCAACTGAAAATTGTCTGCATACCGACCTCGGTCAACTGGAAGACGTTTAGAATCGATTAAGGAATCATCTTGCAGAAAGTTTTGGTAAATTCATCGAGTAACATTCTGTCATGAAGTGAAGACTTCTGTACCGCCTTACCGGGTGGTTATTCTGACATCGGAGTTTGTCCTTTAAGAAGAGTGGAGTAACTTAGAAGATCCTTGTTCATGGCGAAATTACCGGAATACAACAATTTCATGTTTGCGTCTTGTAACCGTGCCTAGGTTTTCACCGTTGTTGACCCCCAGTCTGACTTCGATCTCAACCAGCACAATACAGTAAAGCATACCACGGTATATTCTTTAAAAAATCAGTATAGCCTGGTATAATACGCTCACATACAGTACAAAAATCTACAGTAGAGCCTAGTAAAATTAAAAAAAAACCTATTAACGTATATCATAGCCCCCAGAAACACATATGAGAAGGATCGACCATAAAAGTTCAATGTAAACCGTGTTTTTTTGCGGAAATCTTTCCAGTACGAACGTCGTTCACACAGAAATCAGCATCCTGCCTTCTGAGTGATTCTACAAAGTGATTTGTTGCTGCATTGCCACCATTACTGTCTTACCTAATTTTGAGGGTTGACGATTTATGTTAAAGTCATCATCATTATGAACGATGCAACATCAGTGTTTATTCGAAGAAAAGAATGCAAAGTGTATGAGGAAAGTACCCAGTTTTAGTCTACCACAATCATTTTGAGATGCATACACCTCCAGACGCTCTGGCTACAAACTTACAAGAAGAATGCCATTGACATCGATTAACAGTTATATCTTGTAGTGTCTCCAACCCTGCGCACAGCAATGCATCCTGGATGGTGAGTCGCACCGACAGTATTCAGAATTTTCGTACTCTGCCAGGTCAAAGGTTGGTCACTCCTCTGCTTGCGCCAGAATTGGACACGGTGAGTCGCACCGACAGTATTCAGAATTTTCGTACTCTGCCAGGTCAAAGGTTGGTCACTCCTCTGCTTGCGCCAGTCTGAATTGGACACGGAAAACAGCACTTTCCGGAAAACGGTGGTTTGGCGTGCGCAATATGTGACCTAACCATTATAGCTTTTGCTGATGAGCACATTCTTCGACTGAAGTTCCTGTTCCTAACAGAACACTCATTTTCTGATTGTTACTTTGCTGATTCGTCGGCATCAGTCTACACTAGTTTGGGTTCTCAGAGAACTGCTATCGAAGACCTGTAGAAGCCTCAGCTCGACTGATCGCAGGCCGTACAGTAGCCTGACGCACACGTACCTTGAGATTCAGAGATATGCCATTTTTTGGCAAACGCGACCCCAGATTTATGCACTGACTTCATCTATCATACTACAGTCGGAACTTATGCAGTTTCTGGCTATGATTGCTGCAATCAAAACGGTACAGATTGGTGCCAATTTAACCAAATATAAGACTAAGGTGTAAACAAACCATCATTAGTGTGTGATTCAAATAATGGAGATAATAGTATTAAATCCTCCCAACCAGACATTCCTGTGCATTGGAAAAGATACTTGTGAAATTGAGCAACTATTAGAACAGACGCCATGTGGGGGGCCTGTCCTGTTCCTTGTCATGTCCATGGCAAACGGTCCTACTTACCCCGCATGGCCCAACAGCTTTTGCTATCGCTACTTTCATCCGGGGGGGGGGGGTGGGCGAATATCACCGCGCAGTCTACAAAAACCTTGTACAACCGTCTGCTCTGGAACTGCGAGTTTAGTTGTCACTGTTTCTTTCGATGGCTTCAATAGCGCGCCAGTCGGTGAAAATAAGGTTGACTGAGAAAAGCGTCAATTGACATTTGTTTTTCTACAGGGGATTTCCTACCACTGAAACCCACTGTGTGGACAGAGGTACACTGGCACCGTTAGTCGATACACCAAACCCTGCGGTGATGTGAATGTATGAAAGACTGTAGATTTGGATTCTCGTCATGATAGTTCGGTGGATTAAAGGTTTCGTTAAATATATCTCACGTGACCAGCGAGTTCTCTAAACTTCGATGGAGAGATGCCTGCTGGCAAAGTTTTCCAATATAATTTCTGTGGTTTCGTCTAAAACGTGATCAGAAAACGAACCTTTAATCTGAGAAAATTTTTGCTTACTTTCATCTGGGAATCCTTCATTTTAGGTCAAACAGATGAGCAGATATTCCCCTTCATAAACCGTTGTCGACTTATAAATGAAACTAACTTGCTTTGATATTTTTAAACTTCGTACCATGAAAAACGAGCAAATATCAGTAAATTTGTATTTCTCCTAAAAGCCTTAAGCACGTGTATTGATACACATGCCAACACCTGATGTGAAAATAACCGATTGCTTTACAGAAATGCTTTTTACGTAGCTCTTTTGTGTATCCTTTCCATTTTACACTTGTCTTATTGATCATATCCTTGAAAACAAACCAAAGGGGACGCTTGACGTAGCAACGACACGTCTGTTCTCACCTTGTTCATCTGTCGTGTTTCTCAGACCAAAGTTTTATGCACTCTTCAGTGTCTGATTTTTCTCCCATCACTGTCTCGTCAGCCCTGCTAACAGTCCGGTACCTTTTCCAGCCCTCCCAGTTCCTGCTTCTTCAACCACAGACGCTTATATTGATTTTCCACCTATTTTTATCAATATACGTTTCTTTTCAGTTTCGCCTTTCATTCAGTCCCTCGATTTGTGTGTGTTTGCATAACTATGAATTGCTGTTTGTGTGTAGCTATGTCCATCCCAACGGACTGGCATGGTTGGCTGGCTTAATTTTGTTGTGGTTTGAGTTAGGGGTTCAAAATCGATGCACCTGGAGTTGCTTTTCCTCTGCGAATGGTGTAATCTATTCGTTGGATAATGATAAATGAAATGTGTTTCAACGTCATGGCCATACACCCTCTCTTGAAGCTCGTTCAGTGCGTATTACTGCCGCACACAGGAGGGGGTATTCATCTCCGTTCGTGTCAGCTTTGATTAACTCAACGCTGAGAACCTGAAAATTCGTTGTGATTTATAGCCTCGAGAGCCATTGAACACTTTCTGATCTATCGATTATCCATTGTTAAATAACGAAATAAGTGGATATTCCAGGAAGGTTTAACCGTCTTTACACGCAAGTTCAAAATCTCGATTTGAGTTAATCAACTCTAGTATCCAGAAATAGTTGAGAGACAACTTTAGCTCGACATCCAGCTTAGTTTTTTTTTAACTTGCCCCTCAATTGTAGGTTCTGATTAGCTAAGTTATGGCATGCTGAGAATAGTCACTCACTTCTATTTTTTCAACAGCAGATCGGTTTTGTTCGTCCGTGATCCGTATTTATGCTCGCCTAGGAAGCCTTCACTTCACTATCTGCTCCACTCTTCAACGTCCTATACCATTAATTCAGAAGCTCTGCTGTTTTGGTATTTCTTTCCAGAACTGCTGACGGCTGGTCGGTTGGCTCGCATTCGTGATGCATGTAAGTCACAGCACAATAGGTTTGATATCGTTATCTTCGACAAAATCTTTCTGATATGTATTCGTTCTCTTCTGGGATTGTTCATCGTAGTTTTCGATCATAAGTGTCTATACTTCATGATCTGGTTACCTAATTCACCTATCGTTATGCATCCTGTTAGTCTTTCCCACTTGTGCGGCGCTGACACCTTTTCACCGCTTCGTAGCATGCATGAATCACGTATCAGGTTCTACATCTGCGCTTCATGCATATAACCCGCGTTGAACACAGTGTCTTCGATTTAGCTCAAATTCAATTCCTTACCTCGTTCCCCTCTTACGGATGGTCTTGATAGTGCGTTGTTCACACCTGATGCCTAGTTTCAGGTCACCCGTTTGTTCGAACAGATATCTCAGATCAACTCTATGGGATACATGTTCTAACATGTCGACTGTATTCGACTTGCTGGTGCAAATGGGGCACACTTTGGAAAAGCCTAGAAATGATAGTTTCTATGTAAACCATGGCTACGCCGATTTAAAGGGATGTATAGCACAGCTCAATGTGTGAGTAAGTCTGATGAATTGCGGTGATTAGAACGCGATCTCCTCACCAGTATGTTCTCAACAGTTAACAATTACATTAGCCGTTACCGCGTTTACATCTGCGGCAAATCCATTGAGGTTCAATGATCCGGGCTGACATCTGTTAGGCACAACAATCGGCCTCTGTATGGAGTCCACCTGCAAACTTTGCCCTTCCATTCTTCATGTCAGCTGGGCGAGGAGCCAGATGAGCTTTATCACAGTAGCCACTTTCTAGCGAGGCAACTACACTTGCGTTATCCATTACGCTTTTGCGGTGTGCTCATCTGCAGTTGTGTTACTACGTCAATCGCGGCAGTCAAGATTCAACGTCCATTGGAACATGCCCTTATACGTGAGTAAACTTGTCACTGCTTATTGTGGATACTCCAAAGACCTTGAGCGTAGCTTTGAACCGTAGACTACCTCTCTTCGAACCTGCTTCCATTTTGTATTTACGGAACGTCATTTTATGTGCATTCACAAGTGGGGCGAGATGGCCCTAATGGTTAGAGCGCGAATTTACTGACCGGAAGGTCCGTGGTTCGAACCCAACCTCTACCTCTCGACTTCCCCTGTCTAGGCTTGGGTTACCTGGCAGTATCTCAGCCCTCGTACAACCTTCGGGTGGCGTGGAAGTTAGGCACCGAAAGGGTGCGACGACCGAATGATGCACTGACAAGTTCATTTTTATATTTCAGTGCATATATTGCGGCCGAAGACGGGGCCCACAGTTGAATGTCGAGGGGACTACACCAGTTTTCTTCACCCGAATTCTGATATAAACCTATTCAAATCACCTATGGTGCCAAAACACGGTGGGAAACCTCTTTGTCCTGACAGTTTGTCCAAACACTATGGATCCCTGTCGCATCGCTCCTCGACGTTACGTTCAGCCACCAATCCTGTTGGAAGAGTCGGTCGGCAAGGATCTGTTCTGCTCAATATGCTCCATTCGGCTGCAAATGCGGTACACTGCGATCCATATTCCGAACAGCGCGCACATGGGACACTGTATGCACGAACTGTTTCAGCTGGTACTAATGATGAATCTGGAGCAAGCAAACCAAGCGGTGCCGGTGACGCCTGTTCCCTGGACTCCTCCGCCTCTTCCGACCTTGGATGTCTACAATCGAGCTTGGTCAACCGGGTTGTACTGGAACCCAACGACACTGCTCTCGCTACAATCCCCTATCATAAAGTGAGTGTTGGTTGTCCCCAATAATCCGACCACCTGATTATATCTCGGATAGGATTGGTATTCACATCACTTTTCCCATTTTTTTTTGTCTCGGTGAGCCGTCACGTAACCAGGACACATACTATAAACCAACTACATCATATATCAGGCAAATTCCTACAAGCTGTAACAATGATCCGGTAAACTGGCTTTTTGAATGTCACTGCCGTTGTTCTTGTGCCTCAACAGTAAAAGTTTTTTTGCGCAAAAGTGCGAGAATGAACCATCGTTAAAGAGAACTTTAAGTTCGACAATGTCATTTAGTTCGTTGCGTATATTTGGTATAAAAACGAAGATGCTGACTGTTATGGGGTGACTGGACATCACAGTGATGTGATGGTTTGTGTTCCTCTTTGACACGTTGAGCCAATTACTGACTGAAAGGTTTGTTACTCGCTTCTGGCTGTGCACCTCTGGTGACGCAAAGGCCGCTGGAGCTGTGTATATCGGGATGGGTGTCGTGTTGAGCTATATAGCAGAGGCGTTTCTACTTGATAGCCGCCCATGCGCTGTTTGTGGGACAATGTCCATGAGGTCATCTTGAAAAAGTTCCATTGATTTCTGTTCATTGTGTTGGCTTACGCCCCAACGGACTGTATCCCCGAATCTGCGAAGTACGATTTCTGCGACACTCTCAGTGCTCTGTAACGAGCTAATAAGCTCAGACATCGTTGGGGACGTTGGTGACACGAACACTCAGGTACGTAGCCTCAGAACTGCTGAAGCTAAATTCATTGACGATGTTAGATGGGACACAAGATTCACGAATACCAGGCAGCATCTACTGCAGATGGGCTGATCGTAGACTATTTCCAGGTTTCCGAAACAGTCAAAATCGTTTGACTACGTGGTGCCTACCAACAAACCAGATCCGACCTCAAATAGATCACGTTGTCATCAGTAACCGGTCAATGAGGATCGACCACCAGCTGCCACTCCTTCATCGGCAAAATTTTGCGTCAGCAAAACAGCCATGATTGGGCGCATCGTTTGAGTAATCTCAAATGCTGCATCATTCGCTTAAAATTTTCAAGCTCTCCTAACATCCTTCATAGAAGATTCTCTGCTTTCAAACCATTCGTCGTAGTGGAACTAACCCGTAACTGTATTATATTACCAAGGTTTTACGCGTTTGCTAGTTTATTTTAACGAAATCGTAAGAAAAACTTTGAATCTCTGCGTGCTTAGTAAAGGATCTAGCAACATTAGGCTTGCTACTCTATTTTCTCCCTTAACCGCTAGCCAGATTTCAGTAGTATATGAATATGGCCAGTCCGTGGCATCAACGATGAAAATCACACGTGGCCATCGTTTGGACCTCATTTGTGTATCTATCTACCTGTCCCAGCCTCATTGGAGTCTATCGATTTAATGCACCTTGCTCAATCACTTTGATGCTAGGGTTTATGATGGCTGTGCAAAACGGTTCAGTGTGCCACTACTTTTTACTGGAGAATAACATCTATTAGATCAGGACACAAAAAAGAACACGGAAGGCATCGAAGAGTAATTCTGATAACTTATATACGGCATTATACTTGTGAACACAAAGTTACTTTCCGGATATGACAAACTGCGGATCCTACTTTTGAAGCTGGTTTTCTGACTGGATAACCAATGGACCAATATATACGGTCATGTTTGCGCTGTTCTCCCGCGCTTTGGTTGGCAAGCTAGCAGGAATCTCAGTTTCCACAAACTTAACCGTATGTGAGTTATCACACCGGATGACATTAGGGCATTTAGTTTATGTCGAGACCAATATCCCGATATTCTGCTTGCTTGTGTGGTCAGTTTTAGTACCCTTTGTTTAGTCTCTCATTTTTCCTAGGCACACTTTGCAGCTGGTAATTTTTTAAATGCAGGTCAAGACATTACAAAATTTATAGGACCTGCAGGTCGGCACACCGTGTTCGTTTCCGTCCCTCCTGTCATATGCAGCCATTTCCAAGGAACTATTCAATAGGAATGTTAAAGCGATTACTTGGCTCGTCAGATACACCACCTTTCGTTTTGTAATATGCACCTGTTAAGACTTTACTGTCAGTATTTCGACTGCTTACAGCATCTGTCTATTCTCCTCAGATATAGACTTGTAGAATCGGTGAGGATGAGTTAGCTACCAGACAGATGAGCGCGCATACGTTCAACGAACAGCTTAATTGAACAGATGTGTCTAGTTTATCTCTGAGGTGGATACTGTATTCCATTGTTCATCAACCTGAGGGTCTCGGAGCCTATCCAATGGATCACCTTGATTGCTGCCGTTCAGATATGCTTTTTAGAAAATTAATCAACAAATTGAGATCGAGTGCCCAGTGAGTTTGACTGAAAATTGATACCCTAGAGTGACTTGGAGTAATTCACTGCTCGTGATAGGAGCCTCCTGCATTCTGTATAATTGAGTCTCCTCACTCGCCTGCAAGAATACTCGAATCTGCAATCAGAACTCTTTAAACCCTGTAAATGTGAATGTGAGTCGTACTTTTCTACCATATATATGAATAGAAATGATGTAGATACTGTGTACAAGGTACAGATCGGCATCGATTTTTAGCTCAGGCTTTGAAGGAAACGTGTCTCCGAAATGTATTGAATGCACTGCGTGAGGAAAAGGCTCTCTATTCTGTCGAGCAGTTTGAACCAGCCTGATAAGATGAGACTGAAATTTCACGCATGAATCCTGTCTCGATGTGACAAACAACACTATAAGTTTCAAAAATTCGTATTTTGACAATGCAATAGTAGTAATATTAATACAATGGAAACTTAACGAGTGGATGAACCGAAAGTGGGGCAGCTGAAAAATTCATGGCAACTTGTCGAACCTCTTAAAAAAGGATGCAGTGGAACGTTGTTAATTTCCACATATTCCTCATGTTCAACATTCTTACGGACATCGATACACATCGTATTAATTAGTTGTGCTGAGCTACAATACGGAAAGGTGATCGTCAGGCGGAGTGAGGATAGAACGATTGGATACCGAGGAGGAACCATTAGGAGCGTTTTTAGCAGCGTGCGGCAAATAGGGCTTGTAGACTGATGTCATCAAGCGTTGGTCGACGTGGTTTGTCACATTTGTGACGGCTCAGCTTTGTTCATCAGGGATAAGGAGATCTAGAGAATGAGAACCACGCATTGGGGGCGATAACACAACCAGTTAATTGCAATTAAATGGTTTCGGTCGTCCGGTGTTGCATGGAGTGATGAAACTACGCAGTGAAGGCAACAACTTCCATGTAGGATCGCGGTTGGCTGCGTGATTCTGCTCTATCTGTCGGGGTCACTAACCACTGGTTTGTTTTGTCCCGGGATCCCCATTCGGAGAGAGGGCAGTTACCAATGTGACTGAGTTGACGGGTAAGGGCTCTCGTACTTCATTGCCAAGTAATGGGCTGACGGTCCCTGGGTCGTCCATATCTGATATGTGGCTGCGCAAACAGGACTCAGTGGGGCAAACGTTCCTGTAGTCTATGACGTACATGGTCTAACCGCCGTAACCTGTGGAATGTGAACAGCTGGTCCATCTAGCTTTTCAAAAGCCTTTATAAACTCGAGTTTTTAAAAAAATCATTTTGAGCTGCTGTGTCCATGTTAGACTAAATTTTCCTCATCAGTAACTGGACAATCACCGAAGGCGAAGCCACGACTTTTAAAGCTTTTGCCGCGGGTAAAAACATCGCATTGAAGTGTATTCACTTTGAATTAAGTACACGGCAAAAGCCTTTACGGAGTTGGTGGTCGTTGGCTTGTTCGCTGAGCTGGGCAATTTGATTGCAAACGTTTCATCACCAATCGAGGTGACATCATCAGTGCGTTATTGTGGAGCGTAGTAGTGCGTAGCGGTGGGTTGAGCTACCAACATTTTCCTCTATAGAAAAGCCTTTACGGAGTCTCAGCTGAATACCCCTTTCCTTATATTCTTCAACTAAATGTGCCGCCCAAAGCCTTGTACTTTGGTCGAAATGATACTCAAATAACGGCGCATTTCTCTTCATGTGACACCACATGTTATCGTCATCACCAGCTGCAAATAACTGCGTACTTGCCGTACATTGGTCCCAGTTGCCACATTTTTGTTCATAAGTGATTTGGGGAGGTTTAGTAGATGTCACTCAATGGAGCCTGCTGTGCACCACAAGTTTCCTAATGCCTTCTTAATACCATGAACCCGAGCCTGGACAGCTGCTTGATGGCCTGATGCGCTTAGCCAAACCAGAAAGCCAATGAACGTGCGAATCAGCTAATCTATTGAACACGGATGCGTACAGGCGTGTCATGTGCAGCCGAAAACGGGCTACTTATATAGCTCACGTGGAAAGTCCTAGGCGGGCCAAAAAGTGATAATATAAATAGGACTCATCTATCAAGGACAAGTGAAGAACAATCAGTTATATCTGTCTCAGTGAAAACGGTTATTCCATTGGCAGTTGTGTAGTCCAGTTACGTTCGGAGCTGGTTCTCTTAATACCTCCATTCTGAAGTTGAGTAATATAAGTCTTCTGTCTCGGGTTAACTTGAATTTTCGTCACTGGCATCCTTTTACGTGTCATCCTTCATGATTGTTGATACACAGGAGCTTCTGGTAGCTGCTCCGCAACCTGAGTGTCGATTGTCCTTCCTCTGTTCATGTCCAGATGTTCTATCATAATGTTCAGAGGGAACGCATTCAGTCTCTGAGTGGGTTGTGAATATGCTTCTGTCAATTGATTTGCATGACGAACCCACGTGAACAACACGTTCATCGGACCTGCGTAGTCTACAGTATCCTTGACCTTAAATTTTGTGGTACTGGTCAAGAACAGAGTTCACATTTTCTAGGGAAGCCAATGCACATTGGTGACAAGATTCGACGAGCGTTTCGATTGGCTATCAGTATGAGGCCAATAAACATAGCTTCGGATCAATGATTTCATCCGATTGATTCCTAGATTTCCTTTATAAAACTTGCAAAACAGGCGTTTTCAGTTCCTCTGGTACGACCACGCGTCCTGCGAGCAATAGCTCCTATATAGAAGGGATCTCATGGATTCAGCAAGGTGTTGTTCTGTTTAGTGTCACTAAGCAGCGGGGAGCATGAGGCACATCGGTCAGATAACTGCCATTCAAATGACTGGGCAACGTCTCATCGTGTAGTGGAAGAGGTTTGGGAGGGCTGTCGATGGACACAAGTGTGTGGGCAAATGATACTTTCCGGTTTTTTATACAGGAAAATGTTGCTAGGTAACCTAAATGGTCGTTGGTTTGTTCGCTGAGCTGGGCGATTTGATTGCAGACGTTTCTTTACCAATAGAGCTGATATCAGTACGTTGTTAGTTTAGTGGTTCGTAGCGGTGGGTTGGTGGTTGTGCGCTGACTGTCACGATCAACCGCTGGATGATCGGAGTTTGCGGTTTTTAGAGGTGACCTTTTCTAATCCCTCCTTCTTCGGGGAAGGCAACATCGCTGCTTCCATGAATATGGATATGCTGGTCGCCTGGGGGCGCAGCTTACTGCTTTGGCTCCTATCACAAAGGACGTTACGACTTTATTTCAGCTGTAGCATCATTTTGGGGCAAGATGGATCAAGTGGTTAGAGCGCGAATTTGCGGACCGGAAAGTCCGTGGTTCGAACCCGACCTCTGCCTCTCGACTTCCCCTGTCTAGGCTCGGGCAACCTGGCAGCAACCCAGCCCTCGTGCTTCCTTCGTGTGGTATGGCAGCTAGACGCTGAAAGGGTGCTGCAGTTGAACGATTTGATATTTACACTGCCAGGTTGCCCAAGGCGTGACAGGGTAGTCGAGATGCAGAGGTCCCATTCGAACCACGGACCTTCTGGGTAGTACGTGAGACATATCGTCCCAGGGTAAGGTTGTCGGTACGACCTTACCTCCAGAACGCCTCGTAGCACGATTACCTGTGATACGAGATCTCGCAGCTCTTGGTCCGACTGTTCACCATTGGGCTTCCTGGCATGGTTGCACCTTGTGGAACAAAGTTCCATCCAGTGTAGCCTGCGGGATCATTGCAGCATTCAAGCCCGACCACCACGTCAAGGTGACAGCTTCAGATCCAGATACCGCAAGTAAGATTTGTAGAATCTGTTAGGTAGCATATTATCGGCCTTGTTCTTTTGGAGACTCATTGGGTTGGGTTAGTCCTCACAAGTATCGTCCTGTCAAAAGAATTACTTTGATATCTTGGATAACGTTCTTTGTAAACAAAGGATTCATTAGTCTTTCAACAACAGTATCCTGTAGAGTAGGGTTTTTGGGGTGCATACGTCCAATTTGATGGGATCTAGGAGACTAGGCGTATCTGCTGGTGCTGACGTATACCGTGTTTCGTCAGTTTGCCGAAGAAAGTTGATGCGTTCACCGCCGATCGGCGTGTTGACCTCACCCTGATGTTCATAGAATCGAACTCCATTAACTAGCAATGATACAGGACATCTTATAAGATGGCTTAATTCTAGACCATCCATAGAATTCCCTTATTCAGTCCCAAAGCATCCTAATGGGTTGTTGCGCTTACGACTGACTATCCAGCTGACAAGCATAAAGTGTAATGAAATGTGACGCGAAGCTTGTATTGTACACGCGTCTTTCTACTGTAGACTCTTAATTTTCTCGAACACGCACAGCCACTGAGAAACAGACTAAGTAATCATTGTGGGCTGACAGATGCTGATTCCGGTCATTGTTTCTCCAATTCCGTTGCTTTCTTATATTTTTCTTTTAATTTAAAGCTACCGAAGCACCCCCCAAGGTCTGCTGATCCGGAGACACTGGCCATTCTGCTCAGTCTGCTACCGTCCTCTCCATCTGACCAGTCGCCCGGCAAAAAGAAAAAAGCCAACGGGCATAATTACCGAAAAGTTTTCAGACACCCCCGTTCGCCGTCCTCTCATTCGCTGGCACTGGATTCCGTGGATAAGTTGCCACGAAAGTCTTCTTTCTCCCACTCAGCCGAACTTGCCGAAACTGATATACGTTCGTTGTTCGGTCGCCGAATGCATGGTGTGCTGCAGCGAAAGAAATCCACAAACAGTTTGCATTCCGCCAATTCTTCTTTGGACCCAGAGATATCTGATTCTCATGTAAACTGCTCCTTGCGGACTCAATTTCGTTGTCGTTCGGTTGACTGTGGAATATTATCCAAGCCTTAACATTAGCGAAAAATAATTGGGATTTCAGTTTGCCGTTGTGTATACCTGGTTTTATGAGTCACAATATGCTTCATTTTTATTTTTGTCTTGTTAAAACGATCATATCATATACCGAAACGGGGGAACATGGAAGGTGTTTTTTATCTGTCTATTTTTCTGTGATTATCCACGGTTTCCACTGTTGACTGATCACTCCTTATTGATCACTTTTACCTCATTTGAATGCAGTTTTGTTACCCATATTGTTGCTGACTACCGCTGGTTGTGGTGAGCATTTGAAACTTAATTTTTTCCGTGTCACATGCTTCCCCGAATATGGTGGGGGTTGACCAGGGCGGCGTACTAAGCATCCGCAGCATGTTCTGCTAATGTGTCCAGTTTAAACAGAAACCTAGCATTGTATGCATACATTTTTGGCATATTATCACTTTTGCTTTCCCTGTCTGTCCGTTCCCTATTCACTGGTGCTTTTCCGAAGCCATTCTTTCGCAACCCGAGACGACCAAACTCATTACTTTTGATTTTGTAAATTCGATGGTTAATATGAATCTAATCATGGAAGTCCGCCAGATTTGGCATAGGCACCCGTGATTGGACATACACACTTTTTGAAGGAAGGATAATCTGGTGAGACACCATGTGTCTGTATCAAGCTCACATAGACATCACTTTTGCAATCCAACAATTCATCCAACACGTGTTAACGAGGGATGAAAGTTGCCATGTGACTGTCTTGTCGCAGACATCCACAATCCATGCTCATTGAACCGTTGGCAGTGTTGGAATATTGATAGCTCGGTTGCATTTGCATATGAGTTGACGCGGTGGCTGTTGGTTGAGCTTGACAATTGACTTTCGAATGTTCCGTCGCTATCCGAAGGGATATCAGTACACAATTTGGATGGGTGGACGATGACTCAATAACACCTGATCACTAAGTTGTCTTGATTCGTACCTTATCTTACCTTTCGTTGCCTGCGTGGGAGCTTTCCTCGTTCGCACTTCATTCTCCTCGTCACTCACTGTTCGTCACAGAATTCTCATACATCAGCATACTCCCCGATTCTAGCAAACTTAAGTGACTTTCATGCATGGCCATAGGATACAAAAGCTTGGATTTGGATGGGTGGACGATGACTCAATAACACCTGATCACTAAGTTGTCTTGATTCGTACCTTATCTTACCTTTCGTTGCCTGCGTGGGAGCTTTCCTCGTTCGCACTTCATTCTCCTCGTCACTCACTGTTCGTCACAGAATTCTCATACATCAGCATACTCCCCGATTCTAGCAAACTTAAGTGACTTTCATGCATGGCCATAGGATACAAAGAAAAGCTTGGTGGGGATGAACAGTTTGTGATGCGCAATGGGTGCCCTCAATGCTATGTTGAATAGCGAACGGAATCCGTGTAGACCAGTAGTTTACAAATGGTGCACAGCTGTCTGTCTGCAGGATGAAATCTGGTCGTTGTCTTGCCTGCTGTTTTGGGTATGTGCGTATTATCCACAGCTTCGAAAAGAATCATTTGTAAATGAGGAAAGCGCGAAATTGTAGTTAGCTTCCTGTAGCAGCCAATTTTAGGTCCAACGGGATGACATATTTTGCGGAACTTTTCGTAATATGGGAGTCAGACTTCCGGTTATCTCTAATCCCTCAGGATGCAGTGATCAGCAGTAGCATTTCTATGCTCTTTTCATGTTAGGAAGTTAGATGAAGAAAACTCCTAATGCGTGGGTGCATGGAAGGAGGAAATACTTAGTAGCGAATTTCTATTGCTCAGCGTTTGAGTTTGCACGGCCACTCCTGGCAACGATCCTGTAAAAATCAATCGATCACTTGCAGCAGCTCATATTCTAGGCTTTATTCTGGTTAGTTAAGTTCAGTCTTTCTCCTTATAGCCATGTAAGCCGTTTATGAACACTAAAACGGGCTTGAAATTCTTTGGTCTATAACGTACTCGCGGTTTCTGCCAGGATAAACAATCTATGCGGATCTCTCCGTAAATCGGTAATTTTTGGCAGGACATTTATTGATTCGATCCATGTTTTGGTACAAGGCGGCCACGTAAGGACGTGAATTATAGTTTAAGGAGTTCTTAGGCTGACCGTTCAGCAACCTGGTCCACACAGCAAATAACTCTTGGCCTTCATTTCAACTGACACATACAGACTGGGTAGGTGTAACGAAGTTCTGTGCCTTTTGAAGGTTTCTTGAGCAAACAGTGCATTGTGGTTTTCTACCGGAATACGACTTGGCTTTTGTATCTGTTTGGTTTCTGGAGGCCTGTAGCGCTGTATGGGAAAATGTGTCCATTATGTCGTGTGGCTAGTACATGCAATTGCCTGACCATCTTGTCTGTTGCACTGGTTCGGTGGTGAGTGTGATTGGATGTGTGAACTGCAGTATCGAGTTGAATATGGTCATTTTCATAGATCCGAAACCAGCTTGATAAGGTTGATGGGTCCATTGCCGAAGGACTGAATTATGTGGTTACATGTGGTTCATTGTTCAGCAGTACTCTGCGTAGACAAATTGCGGGTGTTCTGTTGGTGCCTCCACTGGATCCCTTGTTCGCGGACCTGTTCATGGCAATGCTGTAGACATTCATTAGTGACTGGAATAGCTCCCGAGAAGTAGTGGTATGTATTCTGTGATGGGATTGTGTAACGGAACCGATACCAGCTCTTGATAAGGTGAGAATGACTGCATTGTCCTGTTGGAATTGTCGACTCATCTGTCTTCCGAGCAGCAACGATGGACGTTCTGAGAGTGATCCATAATTCGGGCTGACCAAATCACCATAGGCTGAAGCGACCTCAAATGCAACTGGGAGCACATCAAATCTGTGAGAGCCGTGCTTGATATATGGTTTAATTGTTGGACGTATTCAACAACCAGAAACGACTCAAACTGCTTGAAAATCAAGATATGTATCAGGCTGAAATTGCCTCACACTGAACGCTCATATCTTGAGCTGGATTTTCTGTCGCCTAGTTGCCAACGTAACAGGTCTCAAAGGAGAAATGTTGGGCTTCTGAAGTGAACGAAATAACTATTGAATTTTTTGTCCGATTCCAGAAGTGCCGGTCAAAATATCCTTCTGGACTGGTAGGATGAGACGATTGATCAAAAGGGCTGTTGCAGGAAGTGATTTGTATATTCCTTACGCATCGAAAACTTTCACGAACTTTCAGTATTTTAATCATTTCACACCTCTTGTTTACACTTCATTGTAAATATAGAGTCAAAAACGAGTTAATTGCATCCTCTAGCAGTAAGCCGTCATTCTTCAATTGCTGTTGCTGAATTTCAACTTCATGTGTGATTTAATATTGGAAAAGTTGAAACAATTACCTTCGACGGTGATAGGGAGATTTGATAGCTTTAAACAGAGATTTCATCCTATCACTGAAACCTATCCATGTCTGTTAGCTAACGCCACCTATATTGAGCAGTATTGCTCAACAGACCTGATATTTTGAGGCTAGCGAAATGTATTATGCACCAAATCTTGTATATCGCGAATGAACTTTTTTCGATAATTTGTTCATCTACGAATTATTGTACTTCATCCATATTCTGTATGCAAAAAAATGGAGCAATCTATTTTAGGAGATCTGCTACATCCCATTGTTGACAAACTGACCACCGATGCCCTTCAGGCATCATGCGCCGTAATCGACTGTTCCCATTATCGACCAACTTCCCTATTCTCTCACCCCCATCAACCCGATTGGTTGTCTGTTAGGAGTGTGGGGTAGCCAGGTGTGCACGACGATTATGGGACTTCCAAAGCGTAAATAACCAGCAACACGCGCTCACTACACCTATAGAGAGACGACACACAGCAGCCTATCCGTTCGATTCTCGAAAGTAGTCATGACGACAATCTGACGTATTGAAATTATTTGATCCCGTCTATGCTCTGCTTCATTCATTTTATGCAACTGACCACCTCAAAAGAATAGATTGCTTGAGCAAATCTTTCGAAAGCAGTGATATTCCCATGCTAAGGTGGACATATTTTCTGGTTGTACTCACTATATTGATATTATGCAGCCTCACTTTCGCTATCAATGATCCGCAGCCACAACTAACAAGTCAACAGTTAAAGGCATCCACACACAGCTTTTACCGCCAGCAACAACAACCGCCTGATGCACGAGCTACTTATGGACCTCGTGTATCGTTGCCACGTGAAGGAATAATCCAGCAACCCTCTTACGGGACCGAACAAATCCTTCAACCAGGATACCAGTACGGAGATCCAGCCCTAATGCCGCCCGACCATCGAGCGAACTACCTGCCTACGGGGCCGGGCATGTCGAGCGTTGTTGCTGCTCCTGATCGGGTGTATCCAGTTCAAGCAGGACCGATACAAGAAAACGTGGAGGAAGTAACAGAACCCGCGAAGAATTCGTCCAAGTATTCTATCCGAGACGAGATATTCAATATGATTACGAGCGCAAAAAACTATGAGCGTCCGCAGGAGGGTGGAAACGCAACTGTGGTCGAGGTAAATATGCGCGTCCTTGCCATATTCTCTATCGACGTACGCACCATGGACTATTATGTGGACGCATTACTCCGACAAAGTTGGAGCGCCCGGAGCCTTGCATGGGCAGAGAAACCCAAGTATAAGAACTTCACAGAAAACATTGTCTCTCCTCGGCTGAAGGAACACTTATGGTTACCTGATTTGTTTTTCCGTAATGGTAAAGATGGTTATCTCCACAAACTCACCTTACCAAACTACCTAATCCGAGTATCCCCTACAGGTGACGTGCTTTACAGTCAAAAAATCACAATGCGCTTTTCGTGCCAAATGCACTTACAAAACTTCCCTATGGACAAACAACGCTGTGACATGAATATCGGTAGCTACGGTTACACCGTGAGTGAACTGAAATTTGTCTGGAGAGCGGAAAATCCCCTCGAACTGGCCAGCAATCTACAACTTTCTGAGTTTGAAACTCCCAAAACATTTGATTTAGAAGATTGTTCCGCTAACTACTCAACCTCCACTGGACAGTATGCTTGCTTGCTGGCCACATTTCTACTGGAGCGTCAACTGGGTTCGTATCTGGCTACCACCTATGTGCCAAATATACTGATTATCATGGTTTCTTGGCTCAGTTTTTGGGTCAACGTGGATTCAGCCCCAGCACGCGTACCGCTTGGACTGCTCAGCCTCTTGGGTATTCTTACTCAGGCCATCAGTGTGTCGTCCACCCTTCCACGCGTTTCGTACATCAAAGCTATCGACATATGGATGATCTTTTCAATCATTTTCGTAATCGGCGTCTTAGTTGAATATGCCGTTGCGTTGACCGTGCTCCGTAGGAAACAAGGAGAGACATGGCATGAGGATGTACGAATGATTGTACATGAAGAATTAACCCGATGGTGTGCCGTGTGTCAGCAACAACAGCTTTCTCAGTTGCAAAATTCTCAAGGTTT